TGAGCGACTCATGGATTTTGATTCCTCAAGTATAGAGTCTTTTGATGATCACTTTAGTTATATAGACTCAGACATTGTCACTGTTGTTGATCGTTTCAATCAGGAAAGGGGTAGTAGTTTTGATGATCTTCCAAGTCCGCATCTAAGCAGTATTGGAAGCTCAGGGGTCATTGACTCCCTGTGCTCTGGGAGGTCTTTTAATTCAGATACTCACTTCTTTGATTCTCCTTGTTTGAGTCCTCAGCCTGATGGTGTTTCTGGTCGCATCAGTAGCCAAGACAGAAGGTTGATACATGAATCGTGTACTGGATCAAGCTCACCTGTTTATACATCCAGTCCAGAAATGAGACGCCAGCATGAAGCTAGGATATTGAACATTCATGCTTCAAATAGGGATTATGGCGAAGCTCCCTTCGATTACCATTCAGATGAAAATGTCGGAAATAAACATTTGGGAGAGAATTATGGCCAGCTAGGTAGTAAAAAGTCAACTGCAGATCAGGCTCCATTAGAGCACATGACATCTGCTGGTTTTCTTGGTGGAGAAATGATAGATGAGAGTGAATATGTAGATAATTCCACTCTTTCACAACCAATTACTGTTTCAGAAATTAGGAAAGGTCCTGCAATAGAATGTCATGAAGGATTCACAACTGAGTGTATTGGGGGATATGCCAACAAGCATTATAATGTGTCAGCAAAAGAGTCCATTGAAGAATGCATCCTGGCTGATAATTCAGGTATTTCTTCAGAACGTGTAAAAGGTTATGCTTCAGAATATGTTGAAGCATCTAGAGCAGAATGTGTAGAGGAGCTGTCATCAGATTATGAAAAGATACCTGCTACTTCATGTGTAAAGACTTCTCCAACTGGTTATATACAAAGATCCATTACAGAGTGGGTTGTAGCACACAATAATGGGAAGTTTAAACATTCAGGTACTGTTGAAGAGCCTCAAGTAATTCATAGAACAGCATTTTCTGCCAGAGAAGCTGAACTGAGATCAGCCTCAGATCAAATCAAATCATCTGTTCCAAGTCATACAGATCACAGACCAGTTTATATTGCTAAGTATCAAAGTCCTCAAAAGAGAGATTCTATCACAAGAAGGGTAATGCAAGGTGGTCACTCACCTCTATTGCAAGCAAAGGAAGTAACTGATCAGAAATTAAGCTCGTCATTTGAAGACTCAGGAATTCACATTCATCAAGCATCTGGAAGTTTTACAGCATCTGTAGATACTGAAGATGAAAGATTAATGAGTGTAGGCGATGACAGTGACCATGTAAGCATTGCCGACAGTGTGTTAGGGCTTGAAGAACTAAATTACCAAGATCCTGATGATCAGGTTACTTATAAAAGATCATTCTCTAAGCTCAAGATGCCTGCTAGTTCCCAACAACAGAAATCAGGTTTAGGTTCAAGGTACTTAAAAACAGCTGATAATGATTACAGTCTGGTGACTGCATACCCAGCTACGGTGGTTTCTCCACAATGGTATTACACTCAGCCAGAATCAGGCAAACATGAAATGTCTCAAGTTGTAATGGACTTAATAAAGTTCTGGGTAATGACTCTAGCAGCAGTGATGAAACAGTTAAGGATTATGGTGGCGTTAAAGGGCTAATTGATCAGTGGGAAATCATTGTCCAAGAAGAGAAGCGTAGGCTCTGCCTGCATCACCAGCTGTAGGAAGGAAAATTTTACCGCCCTTTGAGGGAAAGAAAAAGCCTGGTGGAACAGTGAGACAGAGGGAAGCATTTTTCTGACAAGAACAATGAGGGTAAGTCTGACGGTGTAGGACATTCAGTTATAACTGTGAGAGTGGGTTGTAGCACACAATAATGGGAAGTTTAAACATTCAGGTACTGTTGAAGAGCCTCAAGTAATTCATAGAACAGCATTTTCTGCCAGAGAAGCTGAACTGAGATCAGCCTCAGATCAAATCAAATCATCTGTTCCAAGTCATACAGATCACAGACCAGTTTATATTGCTAAGTATCAAAGTCCTCAAAAGAGAGATTCTATCACAAGAAGGGTAATGCAAGGTGGTCACTCACCTCTATTGCAAGCAAAGGAAGTAACTGATCAGAAATTAAGCTCATCATTTGAAGACTCAGGAATTCACATTCATCAAGCATCTGGAAGTTTTACAGCATCTGTAGATACTGAAGATGAAAGATTAATGAGTGTAGGCGATGACAGTGACCATGTAAGCATTGCCGACAGTGTGTTAGGGCTTGAAGAACTAAATTACCAAGATCCTGATGATCAGGTTACTTATAAAAGATCATTCTCTAAGCTCAAGATGCCTGCTAGTTCCCAACAACAGAAATCAGGTTTAGGTTCAAGGTACTTAAAAACAGCTGATAATGATTACAGTCTGGTGACTGCATACCCAGCTACGGTGGTTTCTCCACAATGGTATTACACTCAGCCAGAATCAGGCAAACATGAAATGTCTCAAGTTGTAATAGGAATTAATAAAGTTCTGGGTAAT